TCCTGTGACTTTTCTGTAAATATTTTCTTCTATGAAGTTGCAAAATGCTTCATTTAACACCATAGCATAAAACAGAGCAGATTCTGGTCAAGAAACATTTTATAGCAATGAAGCACATTAATGGGCTCATGTTTATAGGAGTCACTGGACTCTTGTAAATATAGGTACGATGTTTCCCTCTGCAGATAGAATGTTATAGTGACCTTTTGAAGGGTTACCGCAATAGCTGCATAACATCACCTTGCAAATCTGAGGCAGTGTCTTCCAGATGTTGTATATGCTCTAAATAACCAACAAATACATGGTGCTATTTTTCCCAGAGCCAGGATTTATAGGACTGGGATTCAAGAGATGGGTCTGGGAGCGGATGCTCCATAATTACCCTTAGTGCTCCACTAGAGAAGTTTTTTGTTTGCTCTTCCCATGACTTTGGGCTTTGCTGGTCTACCAGTCTCAGGCTTCTACTAGGGATCACAGCAATGAGTCCATTAGACTGGAAGCTGATAGTGGTACCTTTCCATGGGAAAAAGGACTTTGTGAGAATTAGTTTTAAGAGGAAAGTTGCATTGTTATGTGAAAACATGTTTTGCTATTGTATTCATTGGAAATATAGGTACAATTAGAAAAAATACACTGATGTCAAGTTGACTAGGGGTAAGTTACTATGGTTTCTAAGTGTAAACTTAGTTAAGTATTAGTTCTAATCCCCATAATTAATCCTATATTATATACTGCTTATACTGGTCCTATTCTCTGATTTGTCCCCAATACAATTAGTATGCAGAATATATAAAAAGCTTCTAAGATAAACTAAACTGAATATAAAAATGAAAAAGAAACAGAAATGGCACATGAAAGAAAAACAAGACAAAAAGCTATAAGATGTTCAAATTCTTCAGTAATAAGGGAAATACAAATTAAAGCATAAACTACTACTGCACATTGATCAAAGTAGCAAATTATTAACATGACTGAAAATTCTAAGAATGAGCTTAGATTATCCCAAGAGTAAGTAGTAGACATTGCTTGGTGAGAACATAAACTATTTAATCACTATGGGAAATACCCTGTTTCCTGAAAATAAGACAGTGTTTTATATTAATTTTTGCTCCCAAAGATGCGCTAGATCTTATTTTCAGGGGATGTCTTATTTTTCCATGAAGAAAAATATGGTACACATTTATTGTTAAATGAAAATAAAGGAAATTTATTACTTGTATACAGTACGGTAGTACGGTAGTTGTCGACACAAACCAGACAAACTGTGAATCCTACAGTATCAATAATTTATTCATTTATTCAATGACAATCATGTCATCATCTTCTGGATCATCATCATAACAATCCAATTCCTGAATTTCCTGGTGAATTTCTTGACTCCATTTCTTTCAGAATCAGTGAACCAAATCTCTCATGTTTAGCCTAGGGGGGCCTTATTTTCGGGGGATGCCTTATATTTCACTTAGAAGGAAACCTGTAAGTAGGTCTTATTTTCGGAGGATGTCTTACTTTCAGGGAAACATGATAATTAACAATACTGACAAAGCTAAAAATGAGTATTCACTAAGACCTACAAATTCTATACCTAGGAAGGACTCTAGAGAAACTTTCACAGACTAAAAATAGGTAGAAACATATAATATCCTGTATCTAGAGAATGATGATAGAATTCAAATATACTGGAGATTTGAGGAACAACAGTTACCTTGAAGTTATAGATGATATCCATTGCCAACTATGGTTGGCAACCTAAAAATTCCCAATGGTCCCTTATCCTCAGGTAATTATACCTTTGTATAATAGCTTCTCCTTCTGTATGGCTTTGGTTTAGTGACTCACTTCAAGTGAGAAAAACAAAGCAAAACAAAAAAATCTTCACTTCACCATAACTGGTTTGGCTCAGTGGATAGAACATCGACCTGGGACTGAAGGGTCCCAGGTTCAATTCCAGTCTAGGGCATGTACCTTGGTTGTGGGCACATCCCTAGCAGGGGGTATGCAGGAGGCAGCTGACTGATGTTTCTCTTTCATCAATGTTTCTCTCTATCCTTCTCCCTTCCTCTCTGTAAAAAAATCAATAAAATACATATTTTAAAAACACTTCAAGTAGTGGGGGTGATAAAATGTTACTTGCAAGACTAGACTATAAAAAGACTGTGGCTCTTTCTTGGATACCCTCTCTTACTTTGAGGAATGCCAGCTGCTACACTGTGAGCTCCCCTATGAAAAGACCCACATAACAAAGAATTGATATTTCCAACCAACATCCGGCAAGTCCTAAGGCCAATCAATAGCTTTATAGAAAGTCTGGATGGGGATCCTCCCTCAGCTATGCCTTGAGATAATTATAGGCCTGTCTGAGGCTTTGACTGCAGAAGTGTGAGATCCTGAACCAGAGACCTCCAGCTAAGTCATCCTCAGATTCTTGACTCATAGATATTGAGCTAATGCTTATTTTTTTAAGACATTACACTTAGAATAATTTATAAAATAGCAATAGATAACAAACATGAGCTCCTATAATCATTGTAAACCTACAGTGGTAAACAAATTCATCATTTTCAGACTAACAGGGACCCTGAATTATTTAAAGGTCCCATTAACTCATCTAATAATTTCTGAAGGCCTAATCTATCAGGCTTTGTTATAGGGGTAAAGTCATAAAAATAAAAAAAATTAAAAAAAAAAGGCAGCCCAAAACCTATGCTTTTATGGAGTTTTTCACACAGACAATAAACAAAATGTATCTTATGCCAGAAGACAATGATTTCTATGAAGAAAAATAAAGCAAGGAAGCAGGACAAAGCCTGGTCAATTTTTAAAAAAATCCTCACCAGAGGATATGTTTATTGATTTTAGAGATGAAAGGAGAGAAAGGGAGAGAAACATTGGTATGAGAAACACTAATCAGCTGCCTCCCATACACACCTCTAGGGATTGAACCAACAACTTAGGATGTGTCCTGGCTGGGCATCAAATCCCCAACCTTGCAGTGCAGTTAGTTAACCAACTGAGACACCAAGCAGGGCAGGGTTTCAATTTTTAAAAGGGTAGCCAAAGCCTTCTCTGAAAAGAAGATATGTGAACAAAACCCCAAAAAGTGTGAGGGAGCATGAGTCATACAGGATCTGGAGGAAGTGTGTTCCAAACAGAAGAAAAAGCAAATGGAAAAGTGCTGGAAGCTACCCATTGTCTACAGTCCAATGTTTCCCAAAGTTTGGTACGCGTACCCCCAGGGGTACAGGAAGAGTTTGTTGGGGGTACGCGCTGCACCGGAGTTTGGTGGGGATATGCACTGCACAGTGCTTAGCTGTGCCTAATTCTACATTCTCATGAGTTCGAGGGATACTCAGCATTACAAAACTTATAGAAGGGGTACACATATTTCAAAAGTTTGGGAAACACTGGGTAGATTCTACACTATCATGAAAGTGCAGCTGGGAACACATAAGGCTGATGGACCTTGGGCTTTAACAAGAGCTAAAAGCCATACATTGATTGTTCTGTCAAGACAATGGTGGCTCAAGGCAAATCCCTAACCTGATAATCTTTTACTGTTTACCACACCTTACCTTTGACATGTATGTTTGCTTTGCTAAAGGGAAAATGTATATTGTAGTAAATAAAAAGCTATGGGTCCAGATATTTGAGGAACCACTCCACTAGAGAATAAGGCCTCCACCTGGCTCTCCCATGCATTCTAAATTTATATTTCTTATCTAATGTACTCATTTATGTGCAGTCCCTTCTCCAGACCCTGAATCCTTGCTGCAAAAGACTATGGCAGAAAAATTTTGATGCAGGACAGAAATGAACCAGTACATAATTTTAAGTGGCCTGCGCACCTTTCTCAGGATGTTAGCTTTACCTCTGCTATGAAATAAAAGTCATTGAGTTTTGCCTGGCCGTGTAGCTCAGTGGCTGAGCAACGAACTATGAATCAGGAGATCAAGGTTTGATTCCCTATCAGGGCACATGCCCAGGATGCTGGCTACAGCCTAGTGGGAGGCATATAGTAGGATCAATAATTCTTTTATTATTCATGTTCTCACTCTCCCTTTCAGAGAGAAAAGGGTGAGAACATGAATGTATACACACACACACACACACACACACATATACATACATACAATATATATACTAATAAAGGGGTAATATGCTAATTAGACTGGCATCCTTCTGGACAAAGCCACAGTGGCGAGGGCTGAGGCAGAGGCAATTGGGAGAGATCAGGCCAGCAGAGGAGAGCAGTGAGGAAGCAATCAGGCTGGTAGGGGAGAACAGTTAGGGAGGAAATAAGCTGGCAGGGAAGAGCAGTTAGGGAGTGATCAGGCCAGCAGGGGGAAGTAGGTAGGGAGTGATCAGGCTGGCAGGGAAGCAGGTAAGAAGTGATCAGGCTGGCAGGCAGAGGTGGTTAGAGACAATCAGGGAGGTAGGGGAGCAGTTAGAGGCATCAGGCTGGCAGGCAGAGGTGGTTAGCGGCAATCAGGCCATCAGGCAGGCAAGCAGTTAGGAGCCAGCAGTCCCAGATTGCAAGAGGGATGACTGACTGCTGGCTTTGGCCCGAAACCAGCAGTCAGACATCCCCCTGAGGGGTCCCAGATTGGAGAGGGTGCAAGCCAGGGTAAGGGACAAGGACAAACCCCCCACCCCAACTATTTGTGCACTGGGTCTCTAGTATATATATAATTTTAAAAGTCATTGAGTTTTGAGAAAAAGAGTGAACATTCTAGCTACTGTGCTTAAAAATTATTAGTGTGGAATAGTAGAGGAAACAGGCTTTGGGGGACATCAAGTGTAGAAGCAAGGAGACCAGCTAGAAAGTTTTTATAATCATCCCAGGGAGAGTGTGGTGGTTCAGACCAGGAAGAGAGAAATGAAGGGTGTTAAATGGTCAGATCATGAATATGTTTTAAGAAAGATTCAACAGGATTTGCCAGAGTATTCAAAGGGTAAAAATGTGTGTATATCCACTGGAGGTACCTAGTGTAAATCATTAAGCCAGAAGCACACATGCTTTATTAACTCTTCTTTCAAATATTATTCTTAATTCCCTATAATCTATACCCACTCTTACAACCATGTTTCCAGGCATTGTAATAACAACTTTCAATGGATTTGAAGGTTTCAAAGTATTTTAATTTTTAAATTATGCTACATTTAAATCAGTGGCAAATTGCTTAAATGAAAGGTTGATTTTGAGCAATTCTGTGTTATATTAATTGTGATCGTTACTAATCTTTCCACTCTTGTGGAGTGACTCTGCGAACAGGGGACAGGTTCCATTCTATTCCAATCTGTGTAGTTGTAATTAACCATGCAACGACACAGAAAACGGAGCCACCGGCTAGTATAATGCCACCATGTTTGTCATGAAAATTTTCAGAGTGTTTCTTCTGGCTCTGTTTTGCCCTTATTTGCTGAAAACTTTGAATCTTGACACTTCTCAATATATTTCTAGCCAAGGGAAACATCATGAAGGTGTGAAGAGATAGCAGTTGATTGCAGCTGCTGGGCTATTTCCTTGTAGACACCTGAAAAACAAAAGATGAACAATGACTTCTGATCTGCATTCATTTACTCTCTCTTTGAATGTTTCTCCCACAGCACCTCTCAAGTGTGCTGGTCATGTGAGTTTTGACATCATGATGTTTCTATTTGAGTCTCAGCTCTGCATCTGATTAGCTGTGAACTGGTGCAATTATTTAACCTCTCTTTGCCTTAGTTTCTTCAGTGGCAAACTGAGAGAATAATGTTCAACTTCAGGGGGTATTGTGAGGATTACATGTGATAATCTATAACAAAAACAACCACAAAGTAAGCACACAACAGCTATTAGTTTTTCTATTCTTTGCAAATAGCCAATGGCTTGCTCAAGAGAGAGATTCCAAACTCATCAGCATGGCTAAAATGACTAAAATTCCCAACTTGCCCCACATGTCCAATGACATGCATATTTACAACAAACTGATTTTATTGAGAATTATAGGCCATTCTCAGAGTATGTCCTCCTTCTGTTCCTTTTCTCCCTTCCTATTAACCTTCTCCTTCTCTTCCTTTCATCTCCTCTGTACCTGTAATTCCTCCATGCACCTTCCTACAGGTAAAATTCTACTTATACTTTAAAGCCTAGTCTAAAAGTCATGCCTTCTGGGAATTTTTCTCCAAAACCTCCCTAGGATAAGCTGCCACTTTTCTACGCTACTACTCTTCTTAAAATCCCTCTCTCATAGCATGATTCACTGGCTTTTTTATTTTTAAAGGCTTTATTTTTTAGAGCAGTTTTGGGTTCATAGCAAAATTGAATGGAAAGTACTGAGAGCCCCCATGTATACCCTGACTCCACACATACATAGCTTTGCCCTCCTGTGCCAGAGTAGCACATTTTCTACAATCAATGGATCTACATAGCAGTCCTTGAACAGAGATGTCTTTTACAAGTATTTTCTCCCAGCCTGTGGCTTTTCTTGTCATTCTTTTGAGGAATTATTTTATATTCTCCTCCAGTAAGCTGCAAGGTCTTCAAGAGCAAGATGTCTAGCTTTACATACACAGCAGCTGACAAAAGCAGAGAAATAACTCTGAACCAATGTGAAATATAAGTATTAGTATCCTCATAAACATCTAAATCTGATAACAAATTTACAATCAGGAAATTAAATGTACATGTCATAAGAGCCCTAATTATTTTATTTTTTAAATAGTTATACTGAGAGGTCTAGAAGCAGAAACATATGAAGGAGTTCTATAAATTTCTCCTCTTTGTACAAACTATCAAACAGCGTTCTGTCTCTAGTAATGGCAGGAGCTAAGTGTAGCCCACATGCATGCAACATGGATACAAAAGGGCCTGAGGTCAGTGTTGAAACTGTTCACCAAGATTTGCCAAGTCAAATTACTTTATTTCCAACTTGGGAAACAAGACCCTAAGGTTCTATTTTATTTCCACCCAGAAGGTAAAGTGTCTTCAAGATTGTGACAAAAAGGGCAAAACCCAAATGCATTTCTTCTGAGGTTCCAAATATTCAGAGTGTTTTTCCTGTTAGTTATGAATCTCTCCTCCAAAAGTCTCCAAGGTTTTAATTTTGTATTGAATTCAGAGAATAGGTTGAAGGTTAGATAGGTCCAGGTGTGACAGGTGCACCCTTAATCCAATACGAAAGCACTGTGGCACACATCGTTTCCAGTCTTTAGGGAGGCACATAACCAAAGAATAATGTGTGATAACAGGAATCTCTTGTGGGTCACTGACTCCTGCCTGCTACTTTATGACAAATTGATTTCATTAGTCCCATCCTCACAATGTTAAGTTGAAACTCAGATACTTTGTCTCTAGTGACATTGATCACATCCGTTTGTGGCTCAGTTCATCCTTTGGCTATTCCCACATCTGAGCAGCCTTTCTTTTTCATCTAGCCTGAGTTTTCTCATACTGACAAATGGCCATTACTTAGAATTTCCCTTGAAGAACTCTTTGTGTAGTTTCCATTTCATTGTATAATAAACAAAATGCAGGCATTTCATTCCTTTTTGGTTTTTCCTGGTCAGCATCAGCTATATCTCAGTTGCTTTTCTACATACTTATATGTAATTTTGTTTATAATATACACTTAAGAGCTAGGAACCCACTGATTACAGAGTATTACTGAACTCCACATGACTTGCTTCTACAATAGATTTTGTGTTACAGCAAAGCCCTAGGTTATTACCCAAAAAAACTGAAGCAACAGGTTCTAATATCTATACAAAAGCATAAAAAGGGGGACATACAATGAAATAATAAAATGTAGGCAAAGGAAGTATTTCTTAAAATAGATGCTTTCTGATGAAAACAAACTACAAAAAGATTGCAGAAGACGGATTTTTTTTAGATAATATGAACAAAGTAAAGTTCCTCTCATGTTTACGGCAATAAAAGAAATATGTTCTGAATATAAACAGTTCAAGGGAGTAGAGTAACCTATTGAAGATGAAAAGGAGAAATTGAGTTATCTATTTTATATAGTAATTTTGAAGTTCAGTTCACAAAAAAATAACTAATATTATACCTCAATTTAACTGGGATAAGGAGGTTCATATAGATTTGAAGTTTCACTGGTAACAATAATCATTTAAAATCATTAAAAGCCATAAAAAGAAGTAAAGCAGTTAATACAGAAAGGAAACTTTTATTGAATATACACTAGGATTTTGCAAATCTGCAAAAATGGTGTGAAATGGGAATTATTTACCTGTACTTCAAATAGAAGAACAGATGATAAGACAGAATGTGAACTCAATCAATTCCTTTGATTCTAAATCTGGTACATTTTTCAGTTATGTCATGTTTTAAAGCATATTTAATTCTGAGTGCTGGAAACAAACAACTCTAGTGTGGTCACCACAGATGACCCTTTATTTGAAAACTAGAGGCCCAATGCATGAAATTCGTGCACGAAGGCATCCTTCTCACAATCCAGTACTGCTGATTCCCAATTGCTCACCTGCCTGCCTTCCTGATTACCCCTAACCGCTTCTGCCTGCCAGCTTGATCACCCCCTAACTACTCGCCTGCCATCCTGTTTGCCCCTAACATCCCTCCCCTGCAGGCCTGGTCACCCATAACTGCCCTCCCCTACAGGCTTGATTGCCCACAACTGCCCTCCCTTGCAGACCTGATCCCTCCCAACTGCCTCCCTTGATGTTCATCTTATGGCAGCCATCTTGTGTCCACATGGGGTCAGCCATCTTGTGTGTTGGAGTGATGGTCAATTTGCATATTACTCTTTTATTAGATAGCATAGTGGCCTGGTGCACAGGTGGGAGCCACCTAGTTTGCCCTGAAGGGTGCCCTGGATCAGGGTGAGGGTTCCCTTAGGTTAGGGTGTGATGGTTTGCAGGCTGGCCATGTGGAAGCCCTGGTATCTGGGACTTATTTATCTTCTATAATTGCAACTTTGTAGCCTTGAGTGGAGGCCTGGGCACACCAGGGCAGCAGGAAAGCTTGGCTTCCTCCATTATTAGGGGCAACCCAAGCCTTCCTGCTCTCTCCATGGCCACAGCCATCTTGGTTGGGTTAATTGCACGCTCCTTTCTGATTGGCTGGTGGGCGTGGCTGGTGGGTGTAGCAGATGAATGGACAATTTGCATATTACTCTTTTATTAGATAGGATGGTTCACTTCAGTTTACTGTATATTTATTGAGTTGCTACTGTGTATCGGGGCCTGGCCTGGGGGGGTCAGGATACCATGCATACTGCTGAGAAGCTTATGATAAAATGAGGAAATAAATGGTTCCACTGTCCTAGGGGAGGATATAGGCTAGATATGAGAAGTACATTTCAACCTGGGACCCCAGAAATAGGTTTAGAGGAAATGATACCTAGGCTAGACAAATTTTATCACAATGAAAAGCACTTAATGCCATATGTATATGTATATATAGTCCAGAACACCATATTGACTAGAACGACTGGCTCTATGATGCCCACTGAGGCCAGCGAAGCTCAGAGACAAGCCAAGAGGGATGAGGAAAGGGTGCACATTAAGTCTTTACATGCCTCACCATGGATATTATTGACATTTTGGTTCAAGTAATTCTTTGCTGCAGTGGTATGTCCTGTCAGTGCAGCATATTTAGTGGCATTCCTGCTTCTATATATTATATACCAGTAGTACCTAACTCCCTCAGTTGAGACATTAAAAATATATCTATGGGAGAGGGAGACAAGATGGCAACTGATCAGAGGAATTTGTTCTGAGCCTAGTCACAGAACAGATAGAATCAGCTTCTAAAACTCGCTCAAGAAGTATAGATTGGCAAGCTAAGGGGTAGCAGAACTAAAAAAAAAAAAAAGAAAGAAAGAAAAAAAAAAAGGTAAGGGTCCCCTGAACCAGATTTCCTGACCAAGCAGCCAGCACTGCAGCAGTGGAAACCTCTCCCGGACCTATGGGCTCAGAGGGAAGGCTGTGCCATCTTACCAAGAAAGCAGGACCTTCTCTGAGACCTGGAAAACACACAGCAGAGGAGAACATCAAGCAGCTGTGACACCCCAATCGGAGAAAACACCTGGATTAAAGGGAGTTCCTCAATCACCCATGGAAAGGTCAGAGTTTGCGGAGAAAATGCGAGGGTTCTGGGTCACCTTGGTGCAGGCAGTGACTGTACCCGTCGCGTGCCCCAGCAGTGACCCAGCAGCCCTGCGCCACCAGCGGTGATAGCCCCATGTGGCCCCGTACCACCAGCAGCCCTGCGCCGGGAGCTGCACCAAAAGAGACAGCAGCTGCAGAGAGAATCGCATCGCGCACTGCAAGACCCAGTGCTGGGTTTGGTGTGATCTTCCCCAAAATTGGGTCTTTATTAAAAACACCAAGGGATGCGGGACAAATTGTTAAGAATCGGGACCATCCCACCAAAAGCAGAACATCTGGACACCTTGGCGCAGATCCATCCTGCATCTGATCCCCTTCACCCCCTTGCTTCTGAGTACTAGGTAAG